GTGGATGGATGGATGGATGGATGATGGATGGATGGATGGTGGATGGATGATGGATGATGGATGGATGATTGATGGATGGATGATGGATGGATGGATGATGGATGGTGGATGGATGGATGATGGATGGATGGATGATGGATGGATGATGGATGGAAGATGGATGGGTGGATGGATGGATGGATGGATGATGGATGGATGGATGGTGGATGGATGATGGATGATGGATGGATGATTGATGGATGGATGATGGATGGATGGATGGATGATTGATGGATGGATGATTGATGGATGGATGATGGATGGATGGATGATGGATGGTGGATGGATGGATGATGGATGGATGGATGATGGATGGATGATGGATGGATGATGGATGGAAGATGGATGGGTGGATGGATGGATGGATGGATGATGGATGGAAGATGGATGGGTGGATGGATGATGGATGGATGGATGGAAGATGGATGGTGGATGGATGGATGGAAGCTCAGACCTCCTTCCCTCCAGCTTCCTGGAGGACCTCCAGATGTTCTCAGAGCAGTTCTGGTTCTGACCCAGGTTCTGACCCAGGTTCTGACCCAGGTTCTGACCCAGGTAGGTTCTGCTCCTGTCCTGTTCAGATGAACCCTCTCAGCAAACTCCAAACTTTAGCTGTAAAATGGAGTTTTAGCTACGTTTAGCTCCTTTAGCTGAGGCGGCCATCTTGAATCCATCAGGCTCTGTTTTTGTTTGTTTTGTTGACTTTTTAAGACTTCCTGTTTTCTTTGACCAATCATAACTTATCCTCAGTCAGCTGGCCCCGCCCACTCTCACCTGTTCCCACCTATTTCCTGCATTCAGCTCAGGTGTCTTCACATGACTCCTGTTTTATTTGACCACACTTCCGGTCCTGTCCACCTCATCTTTAATGGAATTCATAATGAAAATTTAATGATGATAATAATAATTTAGACTAAATGACGTCATTCCACAGGTTTCACCTTTTAATATTTAAAAGAAACTATTATTTTAATTATTAATGTTTTTTATTCTAATTTAAATCAGATTCTGAATGCAGAAACTTTGAGTGCAGCAGCATTTAGTTTTAATCTGCCTAAACTTTGTTTTTGTCACTTTCTCAATCTAAATAAATAAATAAATAAATAAATAAATAAATAAATAAATAAATAAATAAATAGAGAAAGTTTTGACGAAATTAACAGAAAAACAACTGAACCTGGACTGTTAACCAGACCCAACAGAACCAGCTGTCAGCTCACAGAGCTCTCCTGAAAACTTCTGAAGAACTTAAAGAAATTTAAAAACAAGCTCAGAAGAAAGTAAAGCTTTCAAAATAAAAGTCTGTTTAAAAAGAAAACCACTCACCGAGATTTTCTTCTTTCTCGTCCATTTTTCAGCTGCTCCGTTCGGAATCAGAACACACCTCCGATGACGTCACAAATAACATCAGGGGCGACGATATCAACCCACTTCCTGGTGGGACTTTCATAACAAAAGCCTTTCGGAGGGTTCAAAGTGACCAAAAACGGTCTTTATTACTTTTTCTGTTAGTTTTTTTTAAATAAATCTACTATTTTTCCTCTTCTGACAGAGTT